TCTAAGTATTGTATTTATCTTAGACTTACTTTGTTGCTAGAGTTTCACAATGGCAGGCATCCATAATGTCTTCATCTAGTGTACCTGTGTGGCGGATATTACCTGACTTAAACATAGTGTTTTTTGACATAACATAACATCACGCCTTCTATCCCTGAAGGGGTAGGTAGAGGTGCACATTACGGCACTTAACGCCACTGTATAATGTAACATCCACTTTTCACTATTTATCTTCATAACATGTAGAGGTATGTCCCATGTAATAGAGGGTGAGCCTATTGCCATATACCGGGCACATTTCCAGACTCTGTGATACTACTGAGATTTTTAAAAACCCAGTAATAGTTTGCCTGACCCGGGAATCGAACCCGAGACCCCTTGCCCGGCAGTCGCACTTGCGACCACTCGGCCAACGAGGCAGTCTAATGAAAATACATGTCTAATCTACAAGACAGACATTAAAATAAAAATTAGTCATCTACCCTATTCAAACATGTCTTAACTCATTCCATCAAATAAAATAACCATTTCATTAATAATCTATCTGATCTCCTAAATTCAGATAGGGCAACAAATCTCACCAACAGCTTAGAATCAATCTTCACTATCTCAACTGTACGTTTGTATGTGTCATATATCCTTAGCTCATGGCCTTGCAACTAACGCTTACGTTTATCCTATTCAAGAGCTGTTACATCAAAATGAATGAAACCTACGCCATTACGCCATTCATCATATCACTAATAAACTTAAAATTTGCATTATGTTTCTATTCCATTATTACGTCGACATTTCGATTTATTGCTTAATTAAGGGTCTACTATTGTTCTTGTGTTTTGTTTTGGTCAAATTTATTCACCTTAGTCCAAAAGATAGCGATTGTTGTCCTTTTTTAACATTAGTGCAATTGAATTATTGACAGACTTTCAAAAATAGAAGGTGGTTCTCAATTTTACCTGTATGTTTGTATGTTTGTGCGCAATTATCTCGCAATTGGCTGAAACCATAAAACTATCTTGCTGAGGTATTCAGAAAATTGCTTGTTACTCTTAGGAGAAGGTTTTAGTATATACCCGTCGAGCGTCCGCGTTCCTTACGATCCAACGGGTGCACAAGTGACATTTGGAGCATTTTTTCTTATGATCCACCGGGTGATCTTAAGGACGCTCGAGGGGTTAATTCAAGGAGTTCAAAGAAAAAGAGGGGGATTAAGTCGGTTTAACTTAGTTTACAAAAGAATTATTGTGTCAAAAATCTAGACATACCACAGAACTTATAAACATACTATATAAGCTGACACAGAGACCTTCTTATATCGGATTTATCGTTATAAAATATTATTAGCACAGTGGTCTGAAGTCTACCGATAAACAAATTTCACCAGTTATACATACCCCCCTTAGTCCCATTTCTACTAAAAATACCACAAAACTAGGTGATGTCCTTCTAAGAATAATTGTGAAATCGATTACGTCACAATAGCTTGTTACCGGTAAGGAAATCGGGAGACTCATTACGTGCATTATACACATTTAATGACTGGTAATTAAACATCGTATGCATATTGTCTGTGGTGTGATTCATAAAGAAAATTACATGCGCTATGCAGCCATGTTTATTGTCTAGAATGGTAGGAATTTCACCTTGATCAATGCAAATATGATCTTAAATCATTTTGTGTCAATACATTATTAAGATACCTGGTCTAAAACATGCTTGAACGTTATGTTGAGTCCTACCACGTTTTTTTATGGAATAGGGAGGCAAACGAGCAGACGGATCACCTGATGGTAAGCGATTAGCGCCGCCCATGGACACCCGCAACACCAGAGGAGTCATGCTGAACATAATGCTGAGGTGGAGCCCCGTTCAGCATGGGTATTGGGTATGCATCTATTTTTGTTAATTTTGGAATGTTTAATTTTTTTTATTTAGGTTATTTTTATTAATTTTTGTCTTCATCTCTGTGCATACAATTTGCCGAATAAATGTTTTTCTTTCTTCCTTTCTTTCTTTCATATTTGAATGTCTAAAATTTTTAGCACAAAAGTTTACGGTTAAAGACAAACATGGTCATTTATACATTTGCTTATTACCTACATTCAGTTAAGTGGTTCTATGTTGTAATTCTATAGTCTATAATTGATTATTAATGATTTTGAACTATATTTAGATGTTTCAATAGTTAAATGAGGTGATTAGTTGCAGATAATATTAAACATTACCTAGTAATTTGTAATAGTTAAAACTGTATTATTACCAATTATGTGTAATTATTTAATTAGGTGGAATTTACTTTTATTATCTACTGGTGTAATTTTGACTGCCTCGTTGGCCGAGTGGTCGCAAGTGCGAGTGCTGGGTCGGGCAAAGTATTATTGGGTTGTTAAAAAATTCTCAGTAGTAGCACGGAGCCTGTAAATGTGCTCGGTACATGGCAATAGGCTCACCCCCTATTACATGGGACTCATAACATAAATAGTGAAAAGTGGATGTTACATTGTACAGCGGCATAAAGTGCCGTTGGTAATGTGCACCTCTGGCTACCCCTTCGCGGATGAAAGGCGTGATGTTATGTTATGTTGTGTAATTTGAGTAGCGATGTACATATTTTATTATTTACAGAAGTTTCTTTTGGTACCTATATCAAATTATTTGGTTACGCCAAATCTGAATTACCCAAGGATATCATAAACGGGATTACCCAATAATGGTTATTTATAATTAAAATATGTCATTAACTAAATATGATAATGTGTGTACCCAATTAATAATCGTTATCCATATCATTGAAGATAAATCATTATTGAATAGAAATCCGTATTAAACAGTCCATTAGCGAAGCATCTGAATTTAAATTTGTAATAAGACAATGTCTTTGATATGGGGAAACTTTTGCATTCTTGCATTCATAAACTAATACATACATATAACGCCTGTCCCCCATAGGGGTAGGCAGAGATTATGGAACGCCAATTGCTACGATTCCTACATGCCTCTTTCGCTTTATCGACAGTCATCAATATTTTTAGGCATGCTCGTCGGTTAAGGGTACTTTTAATTTAGCCCTTCTTTAATAAACTAATGAAATCTTATACTATTATATAAAGCGGAAGAGTTTGTTTTTTTTGTTTGTTTGTTTGAACGCGCTAATCTCCGTAACTACAAGTCTGATTTGAATTATTCTTTTTGTGTTGGATAGCGCATTTATTGATGATGGCTATAGGCAACAAAACATCACGCTACAACCAATAGGAGCTAAGCAGAGCGTGTGAAACCGCGAGGAAGTAGCTATTAAAAATATTTGTCATATCGTCGTACTCACAGACATTTGATGCCTACATAACCTAAGTTTTTAGCAGTTTTCAGAACAAAATTGGTTATTAAGGAATAGTTTAGGTAATCATAAATTGTCTCTAAGTACAGCAGTTAGTCATAGATAAAAATTGTGTTAATTAGTAAAAGTGACGCATTATTTACATAACTTTGTAATAATTGTATTATCAATTAACTTAATATGACTGTTAGGTTCACAAATATGTTTAACTCCACAATGGCTGACTCAGACCTTTTAATAGTTTACTAAAATCATTGTTTAATATACCACTCAGTTCATTTTAAACATTCATCAAGTTTATCATTTCCCGTACCTACCATAAGAATTGAAAATTAAACTTTAGTAACATAGAAATAAGTTTCTTTCTCAAACAAAACTCAGTCAATAATAAATTATTTCTTAATTCGATTTCAAGGTGTGCGATGTATCAAGACTTCCCATGATCTTTCTGTCGCATCCTGTGTTTAATACCTTTTTCGAGATGTATAAATAAATCGATGTCCATCAATACGGAAACTCATTCAAAACAGACATAAGAACTGACCAAGGAACGAAATAAAAACGGTTCATTGCCGACTTATGTCAAGATTATTGTTAGCTCATTGTGGCTCTGTTAAAATTTCCAGCTCTTTAGAATGTTTAATAGCTCTATTCTTCTCTTCTAAATTAAATTTGTTATCTTTTATAGCCTTAGTAACCCTTTGAATATCTTCTATTGGATTAACAACTCCAATGGCGTGTCAGGAATGCTTTTCTTAAGATTGTTTATGGCTCTATTCTCTCTATTGTGCATCAAATTCTTTGAAGTGATGAACACGTAACAGTACACGACCAGGCTTACAGATTCACATATTGGCCAGTATCTTATTTCAGGAAACATCAAAATTGTGTTAACTACTGTTTTTACTGCTTTTATATTTATTTTAACACATTTTAACAAACGGATGCTTATTTATTTACAATGTCTGGTAGAAAATGTTGGTGTTTAATAGATTTCGCTGCCGATTTTCAATCATAAATATTGCATATAGGTAACTCGAGTTTATTTATGTTTGTATGTAAATGTCTTGTTGTTTAATTAAACAGTTCGTTAGAATAGGCTCGAGTAGAATAAACTATCGCATTTGCATAGGTACATGAGGTCATCATGGCGTTCCTTGAGAAACAATACTTAGGTAGGGAATAGAGATATGTCCATAGTATTTAATACATTCTTTAATATTAAATACCGTAAATTCCTGACTTTTAATGAACATATTAACAGATATAACTTCATCCCAGTTTATCCTTCCTCCCCTAATAATCATGCGCCCTTGTTTATTCTATAATCATAATATTATGGTCACTGCGCTATTAATAGTCTACCCCACAGAACACCCCTAGATATCAGAGCTTGGAGATTTTATCAAACAGGATGGGCAGTAACCTGCATGTTGATACAATGTTTTCTTATAAGATTTCGAGCTCTATCTTATAAGGTAGAGGAATTAATTTAAATTGGAGTGTTAATACCAATCGCGAAACGAACACAACAGAACCTTAATTACTTACGTTCTAATTTAAACTCAAACGAAACGTTCAATTATCAAGGATAGCCTTTCCACGCAACAAAATTCCACAGTATATTCTAGCCGTATTTAGTATTCAATGAACAAGTACTCACTTCGTCTTCCTCGTCGTCGTTAAAGTACGGATCCAGTAGTAAGTTCTTCCAATAAATAACATCCGGAGGGATCGCGTACGCGTCGTGATCCCGCAGGTTCGCGTACAAAGGACTGTCTCTGCCCACACCATCGGAACTAGCACTGATCGAACAACTTTCCACTTCAACACTACCACCGCAGGAACATCCCTCGTCGGTATAACTATATCCATACTCGATCTCCTCGTAAATATTCTCGTCGGTGATCGCGTCCCGCACCGGCTCGTACCCGTCGTCCGTCGGCTTGTCCGGCGTCATTGCTACTGAGCCACTGTCAACACACCTGTCCTTACATTCTCCCACCTCGTCCAACGCGTACACTGAATACCGAGCAGGTATAAAGTCGCTCGCCGTGTCAAACGAAAGACGCGATATCGTGGCGTGGTGCTGCGATAATACACGACGTAATATTTCATCGGAATTGTGAAAGCCGGTCGAGTGGGCCCACACTTCGGCGTAAGGGTTGACTTCATTATCGTCCGTACTGCACTCCTTGTAGCTCCAACACGTGCTCTCTGAGTCACTCGACGAGTCGCTCTCCTGATTATTTGACTCCATATCAGAGATTGAATTGTCACAGATGGATTTTAAACGAGCCCGCCGCGGCGGTATCGGGGTACCGTCACCGTTGTCAAATATTGTGTTTACGTTATTGTTCACTTTTACACTAGACGGAGTGCTCGTCACGAATGAGACGTCCGACAGGGTTGATTCACATTCACTCTCACTGGTTTTTGTTTGTTTTTGTTCAGTCATGTGTTCCAAACACTCGTCGAATATGTTAAGAATGCTAAGTGACACTTCTTTCTCGGACGGCGTTAGATGGCGCTGGTACTCGTCGAGCTTGTAGATCTCCTTGCCGAGGTCGGAGAGTATCTCGTCGAACTTGTTGTCAGCTGTGTCGGGTTCGGGTTCGGGCGGTATGACTGTGACCAACGGGTCGTACTCCTCGATCGCCAGTCGTATTGTCGTAAGCCATTCGATAATCGGCTGCGCTGTCTCGGAGCGCAGTGTGGCCGCGACTGCGTTCGGAATCCAACTTGCTAGTTCACACATTTTGCCGCCGCTGCACGATAACCGGTGTATGAATCAACACGCGGGATTCCGCGAAACTAAGCTTTGACGTCTCCATAGCGGTGTAGAGCGCGCGTACGATAGCGACGACATTTGCACTCGACCGCGATCGCTTATCATTATTTTCCTAATTATACACGAACGCATATTTGACCTTTGTTTGATAGCCCACTATTTTTGCTTCTCATAATTCGGGTCCAACATCACTATTTTCGAAAATATTGTTCCACGACAACAAGAGAAAAATTGAAATAAAAAAATAAATTTAAATTAGGCGGTAAGTTTGACACTGACAGTAAAGTTGGCGCGCTTTTTATTATTTTTAATTTTAAAATGTGGTAGCGGAAGCGTCCGCGCGCGGCACGTCCACCACGATAGTGGTGCGCCGTCCGGCAATTAATTCGATGCGTTCATTCTGCGCTCGAGTCTGTGTGACCGATATTCTACGTTATTTCTGTGGCAGCTGGAGCATGCGTGGCGCAACCACACTAAAACTAAATGCAATGTGCATTAGATAAGACAGATCAGGCGCCGAGACATATACATCTTTATTGCTATATTTAATTGTATCGATACGGGCTGTAAAGTCGTGTGCCTCTCGCCAATAAACTTAGAGCAACTTAGATTGTATTGGTTGGAGGGCATAGCAATATAAATTCATTACCACATCTGTAGTTTGTACCAGCATCGAGCATTATTGTTTAAATTTAAATGTGTTGTTCGATGTTTTCCTCTAATTAACTTGGAAACGTCGAACGCGTCTAATGAGATGGGTATGCTATTGTAGGTCTTATGTAGTGGGACATAAGGATGCGATGATAAATAGTACTAACAGGATAATCGTGAAAACCGATTGTACAATGAATTCCATGTAAAATGAAGCATGTGTTGTATTTCGTTAACATTTCTCGAAATGGTGAACGTTCCGGAACTACAGCTCTTTGTTTACATACATAAATGTATGTTTTTTATAATATAGTTAGCTACATAAAGACTAGATTTTCACGCAGTCTTAACTGGTATTATTCAAAAATCAAATCATGCAGTTATAAGACGATTACATTCATAAATTAGTACAGACGGCCATGTCAACAATTTGTCACACTTTAACAAAAATACACTTCACTCTTTCACAATATCAATACAGTTTATAAGAACATAGACACACATACAGATACTAAAACCCTTTGTTCTTCAACAATAAAAATCCCAAAGACAACCAAACTTTAAGAGCCCTTCTCAAATGTTCAAAAAACAATTAACCGATAAAGAAACTATAAAAACAAAAGCGAAGCGACCATTTCGCAACACCACTACATCAAAGACCTAGTCTAAATGCTACCATTTTCCTTAAAAAATACTTTTAAAAGTGGTCACTGGTTACGAACAGTAGCTTCTAAATAGGATGACTATACGTTGACGTAAGAATGGGACTTGACATAAATATTGGTTTGGTACATACAACCACATTTTAATTTTTATTGAAGCCATTTACTTTTAAAAATATATACCTAGAAGTTTATTATGAAGTTTGCTACACTAGCTAGTTGCATAGTTTTACCCACTCTACTCGGCACCTATTGATCGTAGCGTGATGTTTTAAAGTCAATAACCTTCTTCGATAAATGGACTATCCTCCACCATAAGACTTTTTCAAATCGGACTAGTAGTTACTGGGATTAGCGCGGTGCAAACAAACAAATTAACATAACATAACATCACGCCTATTATCCCTCGGGGGAAACGCAGAGGTGCACATTACGGCACTTAATGCTACTGTACTTACAATGTAACACCCACTTTTCACTATTTATTATCGATAATACTTTGCCCGACCCGGGAATCGAACCCGAAATCCCTTGCCTCGCAGTCGTACTTGCGACCACTCGGCCAACGAGGCAGTCAACAAACAAACAAATTCTTTATCTTTATCTTATACTTTTTATTAATATTTATACATATAAAGCCGAAGAAAGTAGGACTAGCAGGAGTAGTGAACATGACAAATGTGTTCTACATTGCATTTGAGGCATTAATAAGTGTGAATTTAATATAGCAATAATAATATAAGGATAAAAAACCATCTGTTCTCCAGTCACACAGGCGAAGGTGACCCTAATCGATTTCGGGAAAGGGTTACGCTGATGGTAAATTGATGAGAGGGACCTGAGTTTATTCATATGGAACCGTATTTTTTGTGATCGGTATAAATGATAGTTTTATAAAAATAAGGTGGGATATGTTAGGTTAGGTTAAAGTCACTGCCTTGTTGGCCGAGTGGTCGCAAGTGCGACTGCCGGGCAAGGGGTCTCGGATTTGATTCCCGGGTCGCGCAAAGTATTACTGGGTTTTGAAAAAAATCTCAATGGAAGCTCGGAGTTTGGAATTGTGCCCGGTATTTGGCAATAGGCTCACCCTGTATTACATGGGATTCATAAAATAAATAGTGAAAAGTGGGTACTGCATTGTACAGTGGCATTAAGTGTCGTAATGTGCACCTCTGCCTATCCCTTCGGGGATGAAAGGCGTGATGTTATGTTATGTTGAAGTCATAAGAGTTCGTAAACTAACCATGCTTGTCTTTTATTAGATTTTTGACTACTAGTACGGATATTTTTCTGATGCTATCAGAATTAACAAATTTAAATTCATGACAATTTTTGATGGGCGAAAATCATCAATCTGGGGTGAGTTGAGAGGGAGCGTCAGACTCTTACTGACCAAACACCATCCTGTTTCAATACTAGACTTTCTATGTAACCCGCCAGTTCGTCTGCAGCTCCAGGTCGGGCATCAGCCTCTGTGATCTGACGCCATGCGCCACCGCTGTATCAACTCAGCAGTGTATAACTAGTAGAAATAAGCTCAATAAGACGTGGTACATCTGTCTATGCGTGGTCTAACCTTGACACAGTTACAAAAGGTTGGGGCGATGATCCTCCATGACTTTTATTAGCGTGGGACTGCACTGGCTTAGGAACAATTGGTATTGTACCTAACTACATAGTTTATGGAAGTATGAATTGTAATTGACAAGGATATTCAAGACAATACAAACCTGAAAGATTTTCTGTATCATTATTGGTTGATTATCTTTGAACTTTTCTTGTCTTAGTTAGTTTCTCTGCCTCATTGGCCGAGTGGTCGCACGTGCAACTTCTGGGCAAGGGGTCTCGGCTTCGATTTGCGGCTCAGGCAAAGTATTACTGGATTTTTAAAAAAAATCCCAGTAGTGGTACGTAGCCTGGAATTGGCAATAGGCTTACCCCATATTACATGGGACTCATAACATAAATAGTGAAAAGTGGGTGTTACATTGTACAATGGCATTAAGTGCCGTAATGTGCACCTCTGCCTTCCCCTTTGGAGATAAAAGGCTTGCTGTTATGTTCAGTTATGTAATTAGTTACTCTTACAAGAGTCGTAGTGTTACAAACGTATTAAGGCATGTCCCAAACCATCATCATTATTATAAAAATTATGTAAATGAAGTCAAATTTTTAAGGAAATCTTCGCAGATACAAACCCGCCTATATTTCATTATTTCATTATTTCATTTCCCTTAGGTTTGTCCCGATAGACATTTCCTCGAATAAAAAACCTCTGACAAAAACAGTTAGTTGATTGATGATCTCAACTTTCAAAGTAATTTGCTAAAGGTAATATGCAATATTATTTATCTACACGTGAAAACATCTGAGTGAATTTGAATCTTATTAAAAAATTCTCTAAGACCAAGTCAGACGGTACGTTTGCCATGTTAAATTATTAAAATCAGTCTTCACAAGTGAGCGAAGAATATTCAGAGAAGGAATTTTAGGGAGGGAGCAGCGTTGTGTTAAGAAGTAAATTAAAAGTTTTTGGTATTACTCATAAGTTCAATGACAACAAACTCGACAGCCTAATACATAGGCTGGTTACGAATCCATTTTTATGGGTTAAGCCGGTAAACGAGCAGACGGATCACCTGGTAGCAAGCAATCCTCATCGCCCATAGATACCCGGAACACCAGAGGCGTTACAAGTGCGTTACCTGCTTTTTGGGTATTAGAGATTGGAACTCTATTCGTTACTCTTTAAAAACGAAAAAATAACTAATAACCGTGGGTAAAGTAAGAAAAGCTCTACTAGTTTCGAACCACAGAGGGGTTCTTCTTCATGAGCAGCGTGTGCGGTCACGGCGATGTCGCGCAGCCTACTCTGTCGTTCGAAACTAGTAGAGCTTTTCTCAGTATATTCACGTGAGTAACCCGCGATTTTTAGTTAATTTAGTATGTCTCACGATAGTTATTATAAAAACAAAACAAAAATTCCTTATTTTTTTTAATCTCTCCAATACATTATCTAATATTGTACATTATGCTCTCTTCGAACCTTAATATCGCCCTAATAAAAAACTAAATCAACTTTATCCCATAAAACCCAAACTTCATGGTGTTCATAATACTCAATGAACAAAGTAAACTGCATCACAGTGGCCATTCATGTGGAAGACCACAGCATACAACACTCCATTATCATCTTTATCACCTTAGACATTAAGTTTGTATTTATTTGACAAGTCTTATGGCTTTTCTCATCGTCCAGTCTGATATAAACTTTAGGTATTGTAAGGTAAGGTTTATTCTCGATTGGGTAGTGTTTAGAGAATATGTGAATGGCTACTGTTTCGCATGTGCATGTCAAGCGGCCATGATGGTGGTCAGATTTAACATGGTTCGTTTACATATCCTGAGGATATGTGACCCAATAATAAATGAACTTATTTCTGAATAATTTCCTACTGTACTTAAAATCTTTCTTTACGTTTTCTTTCAATCACAACCAACAACAAAGAATTTTGGCGGCCATCTTCACCAACCACACCCTAACCATCGTTTAGCTAAAAGTTACTTAGGATGACGTCGCACCTACTACGTACTCCTTAGTACATCAGCTACCTGCCACTAAAAGTCCCGTCAAAATCGGTCCAGCCATTTCAGAGATTTGCCACTACAAACAAACAGACAAAAATTGTAAAAAGTGTTATTTTGGTATGTGCATCATATGCATGTATATAATACGCATGTAGTAAAAAGCGATTACATCAATATTACTAGCTAACAGACACTCCAATTTTATTTATCTGTTACAAACTCCAGAATTTTGAAATCTTTTTTTTTTTAAACGTTGCGCCACACTAGGATTATTTCCTGTGTCGTGGGTGCGTTTACAAACATACAAGTTCACATACACATGACACCTAGACCCGAAACAACAATTTGTGGATCACACAAAGTGTTGTTCCGTGCTGGAATCGGACCCACGACACGTTGCACGGCAGCCGGTTGCCCCGCCACCGCACCAACCGTGCAGTCTATCCATTATCTGCTGGTACCATAGCTCCTATTTGTGCTTATAGTTAGTACTTCTCGCCTCTCCCACTTAACAGCTTAACTTCTAATTAAAGTAAGTTCAGTAGAAGCACAACTGACACCATTGTTAACTTCTTTCATCACGACCTTTTCTCTAACATCTTTCTAAGTGGTTCAAAGGGCAGGTACAAGGTACTATATTTCATTGGCGGACTTTCATTAAATCCAGTAATACCTTTTTTTATGGCATAAGCCGGTAAACGAGCAGACGAATCACCCGATGGTAAGTAATCGGCGTCGCCCATGAACACCTGGAACACCAGAGGCGTTACAAGTGCGCTACCGGCCTTTTGGGGATTAGGAGTTTGAAGATCGTTGGGGA